AAAAGGATAGGAAAAATGCCTGGCAATGTGACTTAAGGTGACCAGCAAAATATGAAATAAAATGCTGTGTAAGTGCTGTGTACATGCTCATCTGCCAAAGACATAGATGAGCATGAAGCAGGAATTTCAGACAAAAGCAATAGAGTCACTGCACTGTCCTCCCCTGGTGCTGTAGCCCTTGCTGCATTTTTGGAGCCCAGAATCTGGAGAGACTCTTACTCCAGGAACATACCCAGGACATACTTAGACTGCAAGAACTGATTTCCTTAAATATTAGTCCATCTGCAAAAAAATACCTGCAAGCACCTTCCTCTGGGGCCAAACACCTCAGTCTTCGTAAGACTGATTTAGCAGAATGGCTTTGTTACCTCACAATTCATTTGGATGCCATGAACAGTCTTAGTTGCCTGACAATCCATTTGCTAGATCCTTGGTCAAATGAAAAGCTAGCAAAAAACTAAACTCGACTCTCTGTTAGGCATGATCCAAAGGGGAGCAAAATGAGCCCAGGCCATCCCAGATTATATCAGTAGCACTTCATAACAGAAGTAGCAGCACCCCCTGATCCCAAATAGAACTGAAATACAGCTCAACTTTTTTTTTGGAGGCTCAACACTCCCCAGATTTGAACACCTAAGAACTGCAAACACTTTCCTACTTTCAGCTTAATCCTACAATACTTAGAAAACACAAATTACTTACCAGTGACTAGTACCAGAAACCGGCCTGGGATTCCTGGGATTTTTTTTTTCCCAATCTGCATCTCAGAAGCACCTGTGTGTATCCAACACTGGAGTCTTCACCCTTAGGCCAAGAAGAAAACCTCAACACAAGTGGACAGCATCAGGCAAATGCTCCCATGTGCTGTATGGCTGAGGCATCTTCCAGCAATTCACTGTAATCTTCATCTGATGAACAAAGCAACATGACCTGTGGCCCAGACTACACACTACACAAAAAACAGGAAAAAGGCAGGAGTAATTTGGTTATTTTAAAGAACTGGAAAACCGTTCCACTAAGGTATTTCTCTCTTTATATCTGAAGGGTTTTTTAAAAAAAGAGACTAACAGCAGGGAGAAGGAAAGGTACACATTTTAAATTCCTTCACCCTGATGCATCTCAGTTTGCACTTGCAGAAAGAGAATAAGCATCCACAGCAGGGAGGGCTCCAACACAACCCATGCTTCTCAAGTGTGAAGCACTCACCTTCAAACCCTTTTCTCCAGCAGATTTGAAAGCACAATGTGGTGTGGAGAAACCTAAAATCAGAAGTCAAAGCCACGGCTCTGATGACCAGACAAGGCACTGGGATTTGCTGTTCACTTGGCCTTACCTCTGGATCACGACAGCAACATGGGTTTCTCAGCTTATAACCAGCAGAGCACCAGTAACAACCAGACGTGGAATGAAAACTGGTATTCCTTCACCCCACCCCATGTCCCACAGGTGGGATGATGACCATCAGGTGGGATAAGAGCAGATGACCAAACACCACCATTTATCTGCTCACCAATGATATCTAAGATCTCATCACTGAGGTCTGCAATACTCCCTAAAGGGAGAGAGCTTTCCCCCCTGTTTCACAGGAAGCAGCAATATTATCATTATTTCAAAGATCAATGGGGCATAACTTTAAATGCAAAACCCATATCTGACACATATCAGACTTTTTTCCTGTTAGCCTAATCTTTCACCATTCTTCCTGTAAAGACTGTTTTAGCACAGAAACCAAGACTGCAGATCATAGGATCTCAGAAACAGTCCCAAGTGATGAACTCCTAACCAAAAACTAACTGTCCATCAGTGAACAGGGCACAAAACTTAACTCTCTGTAGCTCTCAAATCCTTCCTGATGAAAGCATTTACTTCTCATAATGCGTGACACACAAAAAGAGAGGCCAAAGCTCCAAGAGGTAATCGACAGCTTAAAATAAAACAAGTCGTGGTAGACTGGGAAAAGTAGGCTTGGAATGAGCACAACTCTGTTCACTTACTGCTTCTGCCAGGCAAAGTTTCTAGTTATTGACTACTGCAGAGGAAGCGGTTATCCTTCAGGGATCACACTGGACTGTTAAAGTGTCTTCAGATTCACAGGATGGCTGTGCCCTGAAGCAGGCATGAGCAGCTGCAACTGTTCTCTGACCTCTTCTGGGTACGACCTGCTGTAATCACCTCCAGGAAATTTGAGAAATCTGGGGATTTTCTATTTGTCATTACTCTGATGTTGCAATTGCTTCCTGAGGACAAGGCTGACATTAGGTTACTTCTCTAACTCCTCCGCATTGTCTAGGATTTTCAATGTTTAACACGTAACCCTAAGTGAAAATGTTATGGAAGCTTTCTTACCTGGACCCATGTAATTTGTTTGGGGTTTTTTTATCAAATTACAATAAGAAAAATAACATGACAAACTATGCTTGAGGTTACTGTTCTCCCATTTTATTCACTGCTATTAAAAGCCATTCAGTTTAGCAGCAATAAGAAAAACACAGGGGATAGGTAGGGATCAGTTCTGCATAAATTTCCCAGACATCAGAGCACTGCATCACCAAATATATCCAGTTTTACTTACGCCTCAGTATTTTTTTCTCTACCAGCCTAATCATTTCCCACTTGTGGCAATTACTGTGGCAGAACCCTTACCAGACAGCCATTCCAATTCACACATAAAAACATCTGCCTTTTCATCACTTCAAATCTCTCCAGGTTCTCCAAACCCCATTCCAAAGGGTCAGTTAAATCTTTATTGAAACTTATTTTGGTATTAGTTTATTTTTTGGAAAGAAATAAAAGACTTATCTCCTCAATGCTTAAGAGGATCAAGTGTCAAAACAACTGGTATCTCAGTCAAATTGGAAACTAATCCATTTCAGTAAACACGTATTTCATCAAGACTTGGACATAATCTGTTCAAGCAATAGCAAGACATTTAAATCCTTGTGAGAATGGAGAACTCAAATAGGTGGGACCAGATGCAAAGCTTTTCTCCAGACTGGACTTGAAAAACTGACTTGCATTATAGCGAGTACTTGTACCAAAACTAAGTAGGCATTTAGACACCAGCAGCACGAGGATAAGATTAATAGCAGCCACAGCAAGTCTTGTTCTCTCGTTGAATCACTTCTATTTCCTGTCTAATCTGTCTCTAATGCATCCACAACAGCAATATCTATTACCCCATAAGAGCAATGCTTGGCTAAAAGGGACATTCCTCCTACCTCGCATTATAAATTTTTACTTGGTCATCACACATCCATTCCAAGCCTTCCTCCTATATTATGTTGAAAATAGTTCCAGTTCCTGTTTCCCAGGATTAGAAGATTAAAGCTTTCTGCCCTAATTGTTTCTGTGTATTGATCCTTGGCACATATTAAGAATCAAACAGGAAGAGATTGCTATAACATCAGTAGACCCTACTCATAGGTCAGAAGCATTTCTACATCACCAAAGGATATAAATTATCAGATTTGAATATAAATTGAATGCTGCTAAATCAGCTGGGTCCAAACTATCTCAGTATTTCATTACTGCCTCATTTGTACTCTAGGCAACGTCCCCTTAACGCCCTGAGTTCTGATGCTTTGTATCACCTAATTTGATCAAAGCTTTTACTGCTAGGGAAGCCAAAAAGCACAAGGTACAATTTGCTCAGAACAAAAGGCTGATATTTAAGCGGAAACAAGCATTAAGTTTCAATGCTTCAAAATAATGTGACTGGCTATCCAATTTAGCACATCCCTATTCCAGTTCCTAATACATTATTCTCAGACCACTGCAATCACTGACCTGTTACCAACACTGCTGCTGCAAGGCCATTATTAGAGAACTGTCTGGTAGTAGTCCTGTATATTCTACTTTGAATTCCAGACTTTATGGCTTGAGATTTAATTATTAAGGGGGGGGGGGCGTTGTTCTCCCTAGGATAGCCTTGGAAGCATGTGCATCCTGCTAGCATCACAGACTTGGGGGAAGAACAGTCACACACCATCACCTTCAGTGCAATCAAAAGCAAAGACCAGCAAGGCAGTTAATTTTATACTGAGGCAGCACCTCTCCAAGAAGCACCACAAATACTGTGCTTTTAAAGAGGGAGCACCTGAGCAGCAAGAAAAGGTCCAGCATCCTTTCCTATGAAGGAAATGGTTTGAGTTTTGTAAAGCTTTTTATTCACATCAACTATGCTTGAGTAAAGAAAGGCAAACTTTCAGAACAGTCCTTGCTGGATGTTAGATTAGATCATGTATAAACTAAGTCTGAACAGCAAGGCAGTAGCCAATTTTAGTCTATCTCACTGTCATCTAAGATCACTGCACATCATTTGCAGGAACTCTAACCTGAGACCACGGGGAGCTCCTTCACAGACCACATACCTTACAGCAGCATACTCACTCTTATTGCTGTGTTTTCTGTGGGAGTATCATATTGTAGTTTTCACTACTGTTTTATATTAAAAAATTGAGTGATGCAGCTTAAATGCTGCCCCTGCCTGAATTAGCTGAATTTACCCTGAAACATCATCTGTTGAAGTGCAGTGTATCTGAAAGTCAGAGCTATGCACAACTTCACTTGACATCTAACAACCACATGACTAAGCAACAATTTCCTGCAGAACTTGCATTTCCTCACAGAATCTGCGATTCAGAAGGAAATCAGCTCACAGCTTTGCCCACTGGAGCACTGAAGCCAGTACAACACTGAATCCAACCACCTCTTCATTACGTGAAATACTGTTCCCAGATAGTAAAGAAGAAATCAAGTCCAGAAGCCAGCTGCATCCCAATTTTCAGTACTCAGAATATTCAACTTAATCCTTTACCTTCCATACCAAGTTTTTTCCTGTTCTTCAATATATTTCAAGATAAATAGTTTGATTCACAGCACCATTTTTCAATTACTTACCCAGAAAGAAGCACAAGTCATGAAAAAAGATTTTTACTTGCATTTTACTATTGTTGAGTATTACAAGACAGTTGTTTATTTTACACATTAAAGTGCCAGGTTTATGTACAAACTATTAAAACAATAGTAAAAAGGTAAACTTAAAACCTGCTAAGAAAGCAGTGAGATCATGTAGTTGCCTCCAGAATTTTCTACAGACTATTCCACAAATTTACAACAGTTCCTTTGTTTATGGTGAGAACAGCAGAAGCCAGAGGTCAGTGCCCACAACTTATCTTGCAGAATGAAGTGCCTGTATCTTTCATGAAATGGAATAGCATGTACTGTAAGATACATCTAAACATTCTACACATTAACACCATTGGCAAAGTCTAAAAGAGATTTTACTGTTGGAGCTACACCAGCCTCCTAAAATATACCAATATCACCATACTTTACAAGAGTGGGATTTTAGTACAGAAATCAAGTCACACTGTGACCCAATATATAGAATGTTTCCCTGTAAACAGTGTTATGTACATTAATGCTTATGGTCCAAGTTCAATTTAAAATTCTGCATCCAGGGTGAAAGAGTTGTCTGTGGGCTTCGACATGACTCCCATCCTCTGATATTCACCTACTCGCTTCTCAAAGAAATTGGTCTTGCCTTCCAAAGAAATGTTTTCCATGAAGTCAAAAGGATTCTCTGCTTTGTATATCTGAAATACACAGGCAATTCTATAGTCACTGCTAATGTTCACATCTTGAGTATGCAAGAGCACTACAGACCAGCTGGAAGGAGTCTAATGGCAGCATCGACGGGCTCACTATGTAGTGAACAAAAATCTCTGCCCCAAGCCTTCTCTACCATATTTGTTCCTGTCTTTTAGCTGCAGCTGACAGAAGCACAGCTATTCATAACACTTCTTCCATTAGCACCCTTTTGCTCTTCCTTCTGTGGGTCTCCACACAGGACCTAGCAGCAGGACTGCTCAGTGATTTTAGAAGTTAAACCAATATTGCTGCAGCCAATTTGGATTTCTGAAGGAAATTAAACTTAATAGTAGCTTTTCTCCAAGAAATATTCTGTGTATTATGTATTAGAACATTACCTTGTTAAATCCCAGTTCCAGCATCAGCCGGTCTGCCACAAACTCTATGTACTGTTTCATTAAAGTGCAGTTCATGCCGATCAGCTTCACAGGCAGTGCCTCTGTCAAGAACTCCTGCAGATAACAAGCATTTCACGTACAGCAACTGGCATGCACTTGGTGCTAGCCAAGTTAATTTTATGCCCAACAGCTCTCCAGCTTTGTTTAATTGCAATCAAGTCCCTAAACAAGGGGCAGACAATTACCTGCTCTATGAGAACAGCATTCATGATGATTTCCCTTACTCTCTCCTCTGATGGTTTGTGTATCAGGTGCTTGAACATGAGGCAGGCAAAATCACAGTGCAAACCCTGGAAGGAATTTTCAGAAAATTATTTCAGGAACACAAATCTAAAAGAGCACAGAGTAAGTGGCATCACCTTGGCCCTTGCCACATTATTTAGTGTTCCCTACAGACAACTTTTTGCCTCACCAGAAGGCATCACACGAGCAAGTTCAGCCATTATGAGCTGCACCTGCTCCAAATGGTGAGGTGCAACCACTGCAAGAGTTGGTGAGAACCCTTAAACTACTTTAGAGGAAGTAAAATGTCAAGCTCATTCATTCCCTGCTGCAAGATCCACAATGACACGTTTGCACACTTTAGTGAGCCTTACTGCCTGTTTCTAAATATACTCCAATTGAGTATCATTCCTTTGAGCTACTGTGGCACATTACCATCTTAAACTGCTAGAATTTGACTCATACCTCGTCTCTACTGATGAGTTCATTAGAAAAAGTGAGTCCAGGCATTAATCCTCTTTTCTTCAGCCAAAAAATTGATGCAAACGAGCCAGAAAAGAAGATTCCTTCCACGGCTGCAAAGGCTACTACACGTTCTCCTGTTAAGAGAAGATTGATAGTAATATTTACTCACACAGGAAACTTAGCACAATTAATAAATAACCAGAAGTTGCAAATAGATTGGTGAACTGCATCCTGCAAGGCGAATGAAGTTGCTTCTGCTTAAGTGAGCTATGGCCTGTCCTAAAAACTATTACAGCAAGGATTTCTAGTCATTAAACAAAACAAATAGTAGTGGAAGCAAGAACTAAATGGACTGGCTACTAAGTAGCTGAAGCCAAGGCTCCTTCCCCCTGGGTTAACCATCAATATTGCCCTTTTTCAGACAGCTCACTGGAAAAGCAGTCATTTTGGCAGCTGATTTAAGCCAGTGTCTGCTCATCTTTGATTAAGTAAGGAACTTCGGCCATGAAGAATGCTTTAATGCTAGTGAAATAATGATCTGTACCATCTCATCTCACCTTTAAAGACAGCAGCAATTAGCAAGGCTGAGGAGCTACAGCCTCCAACCAGACATGTTTCCTGGCTATAGATGGCCAGTGCAGCTCCAGGCACGTGACAGCAATTAACAACTTGACCATCTAGTCAGGTATACAACGATTGCCACACGACCTTATTATTCACAATGACAGTAATTTAACAAAAATTCCTGTCAGTAGCTTGTTTGAAGATGAAATACAATTTTACCACCAGCCTATACTGGAGAGCATGGACTTTCCCTGTGACAACAATAATCCATCCCTGTGAATTGTGAAGTCTGGAGAAATGGTGGTTCCTCCACCTTTAGGGAAGGAATTTCACTTTGCTTCCAAAAGATGAACTCACCATATGTTGCTTTCTTGTCCCCAATCCAGCACATGGCCCAGTCAGCCTTCTTTTTAACACATGGTAATGTTTCAATAGCATTAAAAAGAAACTCCCTGAAAAAAATAAAACTCATTAGGATGGACATAGGCACATCAGCATGCACTGCCATAAACAGTCTCATCACTCAAACATGCTCTGCACCTTCATCCTTCTCCAGCCCATCTTACTTGGCACAAATCTAGCTTTATTTGATCAATTAACTACCTTTTCTTCACCTACCCATCACATTAAAATCAGTTCACATGAATTCTCGTGACCATATCAAGGGGAGAACTGTTTTACAAAGTGCTGCACTTGAAGGAAGCTTTCAAAAACTACAAATCAACCAGGCTTCACTTTCCAGTGCCAAGGCAGCAGGCCTCTCATGCAAGCAATTCTTGCTGGAACTTAGCATCTTAAGAGTAGAAATTACATGGCCAGATTTCCAAGTAGTAGCAATATATATAAACTGCAAATAGCACTGCAATATCACATGACATTTCACTCAACAGGGTATTGGTTTGACAACACAAGAACAGCTCAGTCTGGACTGCTCCAAATTGTTAGTTTAAAGACATCGTTCTTTAACTGAGTCATCTCATTATGAAAATTTTACAATATCATCTTACTTTTAATCAAGACCAAAGGCCACTCTTCAGCAAATGCAACATTCCTTTCTTCCCCCAAGCAAAATAGTGTGGTAAGGGTAGCACATGCTGTTTAAACGCTTAGCTGTTCAATAAATGCACTGGGTTTGAGAAATAATATTTTAATAGAAGGGATAGTGTTCTCAGAGAAACTTTCCTACATAGTTTCCTACTAGGTGCAGGGGTCCTCCACATGAGCACTTGCTGTAGTTTAACATACTCCCCTTATTTGAACACTCCACTTTTTACATAGTTTCATTCCTACATTTCAGTATTGAGTGGTTTCAGTTTTGCTCTTAGCTAAGCATGTTCTTGCACTTCAGATTAAAAAGATATGCTGAAGTAAAACTGCTCTTAAGCAGCAGTGGTATTTTATATAAGTCTAGTTTACACCCTAAAATTAGCCTGAAAGTCAGAGAACAACTGATATGCAGCATTTAAATATGAATATTTAGCAGGTTTTGAACTTTTCATCATCAAGCAATACAAACCTCTCTCTAGAATCCTTAATGTAGGTGTCAATAAGAAGACTGTACATTTCTGAATGTATATTTTCCATGGCAATCTGGAAGCCATAGAAACAACGAGCTTCTGTGATTTGTACTTCTTGACTGAACCGCTCCACCTAGAGGAAATAAATGAGTGTTTGCATAAGTGTTTATAAACTGCAGGTTAGAGGCATTGATGCTGTGTAGACCAGTTCTTGGTCAGCTCACAAAATCTTCAGATTAATTCCAGACATGTGGATCATTAACAGTAATATGCAGGGCAGTAACCCTTCACAGCTTCAAGTCATGAGGCATTCTTTGTTCCCAAGAAAAATAGAAAAATTTCTTTGTTTTACTTATCCCCTACGAGGGAGAAGAGCACTGATAGGGTGGAAGCAGAACAAGGGCTCTGAACCAGGCAGGCGTTACTGTAAGGCAGCACTCAGGGCCCTACGGGGAGTAGACAAACTTGTGGATTACAAAACTAACCCCAACTTGCTAATTAACATAGGACAGCACTATATGTCATAATGCAGTAACACTCCCATGATCAAGCACACGACCTGGGATCACCCACAGCAAGTGTTGAACATGGAGTTATCTGGTTATCTTCCCAAAGTGGTATTCCTGTCTGGACTATTTCTGCACACTCACCAAGTTCTCATTGACAATGCCATCGCTGGCAGCAAAGAAGGCGAGGACATGAGAAATGAAGTACTTCTCCTCTGGCTTCAGGGACTCCCAGTGCTGGATGTCTTTGGAAAGGTCCACCTAGGACATTGCCAGAAGGTAAGAAGCGGTGCCCCAGGCAGGAGGCCGGACCCGAGTGCCGGCGCTGCCCCACGCACCGCCCGCCCCTCCCTCACCTCCTCCGCCGTCCAGAAGGAGGCCTCGGCCTTCTTGTACATCTGCCAGATGTCGTGGTACTGGATGGGGAAGATGACGAACCGGCGGGGGTTCTCCCGCAGCAGCGGCTCCTCCTCCGCGCCCCGCGGCACCTGGAGCAGCGGGAGAGCGGCTCCGGCTCGGCTCCGGCCTGCGGGGGGGCTGGGGCGGAGCCGGGCTGGGGAGGGAAACTGAGGGGGGAGCTCCTGAGGAGACCCCCGTGAGGGAGCGGGAAAAGGGGGGGAAGGGACCCCCGTGAGGGAGAGGGAAAGAGGGGGGGGGAAGGGACCCCCGTGAGGAGAGGGAAAGAGGGGAAGGGATCCCCGAGGGGAGGGGGGGAAGAGACTCCCGTGAGGAAGAGGGAAAGGGGGGGGGGGGGGAAAAGACCCCGGGAGCGGGAGGAAAAGGGGGGGGATGACCCCCGTGAGGGAGAGGGAAAGGAGAGCGCAGCCCCCTGTGGGGACAGAACCTGAGATTAGCTCAGTTGGTTAGATCGTGGTGCTGATAGCACCGAGGTTGTGAGGTCGATCCCCGTATTAATTTTAGGAGCTAGATTTGATGATCCTTGTTCTGATGATCCTCAGAACATTCGATGCAATTTCTGACATCTCCGAGAAAGGAGAAACCACCGACTGTGAGAGCGGAGCGGGGTTTGCAGGAGCCCCCGGGGAAGGGGAGAAGGGCGGGCACGGCGCCGTGCCCGGGCGTTATGCACTCACCGAGTTCCCGTCGTTCTCCTGGAAGATCTTGCGGGCCGTCTTGCTGGCCAGGACGCGGGCGCTGCTGAGCGAGGGGGGCTGCAGGGAGAGAGGGGCAGGCTGAGCGGGCTGCCGCGCTACCGAGCAGGGACAGCGGAAGGGCGGGCGGGCTCTCACCGTGTTCTCCTTGTCGCTCAGCGCCAGGCCCTTCATGGGCGACAGGCTCTTCATAGGAGACTGGCCCTTCTTGGGCGACAGCCGGGGCTGGGGCTGGTCGTGGCGGGCGGCGAGCGGGGCGCGGGCAGACAGCATGGCTGAGGATGCGGGTAAAGCAGCGGCGGCAGCGGTGGGAATGAGCGGCAGGAAGGGAAGAGCCCGCGCCGCCCCTTTATATTCGCTTCGAACTTGGCGCCAGAACGGCCAGCTGACCAATCACAGCCCTCGCAACGCCCACCGCCGCCCGCCCCCGTTCTCCCATTGGCTGGAAAGCCGGGCGAGGCCCCGCCCCCTATTGTGGCAGCCGTGGCGGGAGGAAGAGACCCGCCCTTCGCTTTGGCGCCAGCGGCGCGCGGAAAAGGCGGGAGAGAGCGAGAGGAGGCCCCGCCCCCGGCCCCGCCCCCCCTTCCCGCGCTTGGGAGGAGGGGTGCGGGTGTAGAAACTGCGTCTCGCGGCTTTTTGGGAATGATTCGGGGGCGTTGGCAAAATCCAGAACTCGTTTCCGGATACGGAAACAGCAATAACCCGGGTTTGGGATGCAGATCTTGGAAATACCACGTTGTCCTTGTCTCTGCCTTGTTCTCCCCTTCTCCCTGGTCCCTCCTACCTAACTATTCATACTCACTTTCAACACTGATCCCTGCATTTGGATACACGCTAATGGCACAGTCCTACATTTGGAGGTAGAAATTGGCTTCCTGGAGAAACTGACTCCGTATGCCACCTGGTTCCACGTTTTAAATAAATAGCACAGGAAAGGGAAAACACAGGTATGAAGAGATGAATATTCATAATCTTTTAAAAGTCAGCATTTATTTTATATTAAGTTACCTTTTTTGCACAACATAGTTTTCCTCATCCAACTCCACAAAGGATCTGTTTCTGTCAACTAAAATGTTTTTCCTGAAGCGATTTTAATGAAACCAGGAGCTCCATGACTTGGAGACTCTTCTGTTATGTGGGGTGTACAGTGGCCTTGAATGAGTCCGAGTGGTCACTGTCACCTGATCACGTTACGTGTCCCAGCTTTGCACTGTGCTTGGCTGGAGGAGAGTCAGGAGCAGGAGAGCAGCAGAACTATATAATGGTACTGTGTTAAATTTACTGCTGTAATGAGTGGATTTGGAAGAAAAACAAGAATACTCCCCTCCACCATCACCTCTGATGCTGTAAATTCAAATTGATTATTCATTTCAGCAGATCAGCCTCAAGGTAACAAATTTGGCTCTAAGCTCTCCTCTGTGACTTATCAGAATGGACAACGTTTCTGAGAGATTAGACTTATGACATTCATTGGTTCTATTTAGGACCTTGAACTAGTGCAGGCCCCCACCCAGGACGTGTTTTGTGGGACCTTCCGTGCTAAATATACAACCCCATATAGACATCTGCATCTCTGGAGAGTGAGCACCACAAAACCCTCCTAGGAGGCAGCCTGAACAGGCACAGACAAATTCCTGCTCTGTCCCAGGAAGCAGGTGCCAGGAGCAGGAGCACCAGGCAGCTCCCAAACAGCTCACCAGTGTCCACGTAACACTCTCTTATCTCATGCCACCTCTACAGCTGCTAGGAGAGTTGCCAAAGAGATGCAGCAGCACCCTCCCCACCCCAGCCAAACTCATTTACCTTCCCACCCCAATAAAGGACCCCAGAGCCACCACCCTGGGCTGTGGCCATGGGCTGTCACATTGTAAGAGCTGTGCTATCTCTGTGGTTCAGCTGCTGTTCCCAGAGGCCCAGGGCAGGGGATCAAAGCCCTGCCCCGGGGACAATGGCTGTGCAAGGAGAGAAACACATGGAGAGGGCCTGTGAGGAACCATTTTCTGACTCTATGCTGCTGGTATTTGGAAATGAGTGCCCAAACTGAATTTTCTTATTACAGCAGTTTAATTCAATTGCATTTGTTCCTCCTTCATGTGCATCCTCCTCCACAATGCAACTGCCTTTTGGGACCAGCATTTTCAAGGTGACTTCTTTGCCAGAGCTGGGTTCAAGGCAGTAGCTGCTGCTGCCCTGCTTTGAAGTGCTCAGCATCTCATGGGGGCTGTCAGCTAGCTTGTGCCCTCTCTTTGGTTGTATGAAAGGATGCTCTGCCCTTATGACTTCTGGCCACTACTTCTGAGTACTGTGTGTATTAAAAAAAAAAACAAAAAAACAGCCCCAAACTTGAGTTAGTTTCTCGCCTTCTTTGTTCACAGGAATTCAGACACTCAGAAGGGTGGAAGTAAGAGCAGCCCTGGGCAGTTGGGTGAGGTGGGTGTGGGGTGTTGTATAATCGTACTGTTTACACCTCTCTCTCCAGGCTTCCCACCCTCACGTCCCAGCACCCACCTCTACCCAGGCCCTGACATGTCTCATCAGCTGCAGATGGAGCTCAGCAACATCCTCTGTCCCAGGTAGTGCTGTTGTGGTACAACAACCTCAGTGCCAGCACGGCAAAGCCCCTTCCCACGAGGCACAGCTCACATTCCCAGATCTCCTGTCCCCATCACACCTCTGCTTCATCCTGGTGGTATTGTCTTGGCTCTCAGCTGACCAACGTGCTGGCCTTGGGTAACAGTCAGGGCAGTGTTGTCCTTGCTCAGAGGGCTGATTTTCTTCCATTTTAATACAGATTGTCTATAGGACAAATAGACAATGATTACAGGTTGCTGACTGCCTCCCACCACTGCAGCAACTGGTCTGATGAAAGTCAGTGAGGATAACTGACTCATCACTAGCTGACTCAGTGTTTGCTGGTGCAAAAAATCCCCTGATTTGAAGAAGGTGATTTGATTGTATGGTCTCATCCAGCCACATTCATCCATACCAAGTCCTGAAATCCTCACCCACTGCTCAGACAGGGTTGATATTTGCATCATGCTGAAGGGTCCCTGCTTAAGCCTGAGTTCCACGTGCAGCCAAAAGAAATCTAAATACTCTAAATATAAGCTGAGACCGGGTAGGTGAGCAGGAGGAGGCTGTCAGCCAATACCTCCGAGATGGTAAACAGTGGTCTCAACAATCTACACTTTCTCCAACAGGTTTGGAGGTAGGCCTCAGCATTTCCTTGCATGCTCACCCAGCTGTGCTGAGGAGAAGGATGCTCTGCATCCCAGAACTTAGACCAAAACTCAACAATTTGAAAAATTTGCCCAGATATCTTCCCTCCCTCTTTAGAGGTGGTTGACCTTCACTTACTGCAAGATTTATAATTGTGCAAAAACTGAGCTGCAGGTACCTGTTGAGCCAAGGTACTTTAACAGGCTGTTTCACTGAGAAATCTAGAGCAGAACAAACCAAGTATTTATTAGCATGATTCTGGCAGGATATCACATTTCCTGATGCAGCCCATTAATTTGCAGGTCTGAGAGCACCATCATTAGTCACCTGCTTACCTGACGATCAGCCTCTTTGGAGTGGCTATTGGAAAGCAAAGCCCTCACATGGTTGGCATCCCCACTGTCTTTAATTTTTTAAAACTGCATTTCTTGCCTATTCAAAGTCCTTACCCAATATCTAAAACTCTCAGGACAAAATCAGCAGGTAATATATGACCACATGGGGTTGTAATGGTGAAACTTAACATGTTTCTTTGTTGTTCATGAAACTGGATAGAGTGCTGCAGACACAGGCCCACAAATGCCAGGTGGATGATCCAGCATTCAAAGACGCTCAAGAACTGGAAAAATGAAGCTTTTCAATCAGCTGCACTTGCTGGTCATCAGCAGTCAGTAATACAGAAGAGCACCACTGATTTTGGTAATTTCCTCAGGATCTATGAGCACATTGTGGAGCTAGAATAGCAATTTCCAACAATGCATTCATACCTGGGCTCAAGAAGGTTGTCACTCTTTCTTGCTGCTGGAACCACCTTGTTTCCTGCAGCAGAAGGCAATGGCTCCACCGTTTACTTGCCTCAAGCAAGTCCTGTGCTCTGGTTCTGGAGGCTGTGGTTGATCTCTTGCCACATATGGACAATTATATGTCATTCCAGCTCTAGCAACCTGTCAGTCACCACAGAACAGTGGAGTTTCCTGGGGATTACATTCCCCAGCACTTACTCATTCAAAACTACCTGTTCAAGGCTGCAGACCCAGATCCTTCATTTCTGGGCAGGCCTGTTGTTTATGTGAAGCAAAGCTCTTACATATCAGCATTTCTGGAGCATCTCCTCATTGCTACAGCAGACACACAGCAGTTTGAGCTGCCCTTTCCCTCTTGGTCCAGAAAACAACCTTGCCATCTTAGCAAAGCAGCCATGGGACCCCTGTACTTCTGAATGGTTCCAAAGAAAACCACCCTCCAACTATGAAAGACAATAATTGACGAGACACAGGCAGGACTGCAAATCATTTTTCTTAACTAGGGCAGCAGCAGGCAGTTTGGTTATCACTCAGACCTCACTCATCTGCAGGGAAGTCCTATGTGTCCTCCATCCCTTCTCTATCTGTGCTCAATGACCTTTTCTTCCCCAGCAGAGATTTTTTTTACCCTCTGGAAAATGCAGATTATCTTCAGCCAAGTGGACGCCTTCTGCCACCAGACTTCCTGGGGTACCCTGGCATTCCTACCCCAGGAAATCACCCATTTAAGATTGGCATGAAAGGACTGAGAAAGGATCCTGCCTCCCACCTTTGGGACAGTACAACATTTTGGCCCCTTTCTGCTCCAGATGCCCATAACATCTACACTCATCCAGCAGGGCAGAGAAAACAGGGAGACTTATCATTGCACATTTTTCTGGTGGCATCTGCCAGACACTTCCCCGCAGGTTCAGTTTTTGTCAGGGTTCAATTACAATTAAGCCAAAGAAGGAACTGGGAAAAGCAGGCTCCTTCCATGCCCTGTCCTGTTGCTCTGCCAGGGCAGGTTTCACTGTGGGATCTAGCAGTGATCCTGTGGTGACAGGACACGGTGCAAGGGACTGTTTACCAGGTCAGCCCCTGTGCACAAACAGGCAGCAGTACAAAAGATCCCAAATACATTCAAGACAGTGAAAGATGAGTTAGAAATATACCTACATATGAAGGAAGTAATTAACCCTAGGAACTTTAATGGAAATTAGAAAAATATAGAGAGGTAAGTGTCGGCAGCACTCAGGGGACCATGAAAAC